CAATGCTCTTCAGGGGTGAAAACAAGAACTTGATTCTGGGTCAGGTGAGGACGCAAAGCTTTGGCCAGCAAAAGATTGGACCTTTGAACATAGCCTTCAAAATCTTTACGGTATAGTATATTCCCTAATGATCTAAAAAAACAAACAGACAAGGTATATAAATACGTATAGATATTCAGGGGTCTACATATGTGGGGTTTAGGGCTTTATGGCATTTCACATCTAAAAGAACCCACACACACACACACACATGAACCACATGAACACCTACTAGAGTCCCCTAGGGGGTGGTTAATGGATACCCCTTATATAACTAAGGAGCTATAATTAGACGCCCCAAACCGGGGGCCCTGGTAAAGGCAAGGAAATCTTTGGCCATGTTTGGTCCCCGACTCGCCACAAAACGCAAGCACGCACCAACGAGTCGACGAGACGTCTGTCGAAGCAGAGCCGCTCAGGCTGGCGGGTCCTCTTTCGAAAAGTATGGAAGATCCTCTTCATTCCACTCTGGAAGATCCTCTTCACCTTGGGATTATCCCACCTTTCCAGTGCTTTTCATGATGGGGCGTAGTTACGTAGTTGAAGGCTCAACGAACCGGTCCGGACCCCATGGACAGACTAGTCCGGTGGAGAACCGGCCCCCAGGTTGCCCGCGGTTTCACCGGGGAACGTGTGGAGATGTTTTGGGGGATGATGGTCAATCCCTGAAGCAGGCCCTGAACCGAGATCTGGAACAGAGTTTGCTTGGAGAACACCATGCGGGAGATTCCAGTGGGACAAGGGATATGCAAGCGCAGGATCAGGTCTGAACTTGAGGCTAAGACTCGATCTTCGGGAGGACACTGCGTCAAAAACAAGAAGCAAATGATCAAATACGCACGCTCAAAGATAAGCTTATTCAAAGACTTTCATGACACATTGAAGCTTGCAAGGAAATATTTAGGGGAATGAAACTGTACAGTACAAATTTAATAGCGTCACCAGTGGCAAACATGAGCGAAAAAAAAAGGGATCAACTGCACAGCTGGCAAGCCAACCTGGGGAAACAAACTTGCCCTCCATCTTGCTCACTTGGCAAACAAGAGTTGCAACCGGTTGCAGGAAGGGCCCCTCATCCAGGATGGAACTTCTAAGTGTATACATTGATCCAACCGATCCACCAACCGACCGACCAACCAACCAAGTGATCAATAAACCAACCAATAAAACAACTCCCAGGAGCCAACCAGCCATCACCCCTCCCGGTCTTCCTGTGGCCACCACTGGGCAGCAGCTCCTGCCAATAGATCATTGAGCTTGGTCCTCTTCCCTAGCCTCAGCGTTCCCACACCCTCATGTGGCGAAGTGGCTCCAAAAATAAGGCTCAGGAACCCGCACGAACCCGCAGACCGCACGTCGACGACGTAGAACCCTTTGACCAGTCCCCAAACACGTATGTGTCCGGGGTAGGATTGGATGGCACCCTATTCTTGAGCCATAGCTATTGTGTCCTTTCCTCCAAAGTGTACTGTAGGGATTGACTGATTCGTCGACCCCTGACTTGATGGATCGCTTGAGCCAACCTAGTGAAGATCGGTTTCACTTTGATGACAAACTCTGGAGTCTCAAGGACTTCCGCCGAAGACCCTGGCGTTGGATGGTTTAGGCGGTTTAGGAGTATATATATATATATACATCTAAAGCTAGGTCATGTGCTGTACCGTCAACAGGAAGCAACCCTTGAATAACAAGCCCTTCCATCTTTTCTTGCAAAGGCCAAGACTCCGCCTCGGCCGGATGCCGTTCTACTCCCAAACCTCGTTCACTTCCACAGGGTCCAAACTCTCTCTGCATGCAGCCATCGATGAGCTCTCGAAGGTCCTGACACAGGCCCACAACCAGGAATGTCTCCTGCCCAAGCAAAACCACAGAACCTTGGGGCCAAAGAAGTATAATTGGAGTATAGCTATCACTCAAATCATTGGTTGTTTCAACAAAGGCCATAGAACATGGAGTGTAGCATGCAGAACACGCAAGCAAGCTGCAATTTGCAACATGGGAAATACTTTAAAAAACATAGACATAATAATAATAACAAAAAAAATAGTAATAAAAAACCTGATAATCATAGACTGCACCACGGTCAAACTTGCAGGCCCTCAGGTAGGTTTGGTGAGTGCAGAGCTGGGACAAGCCCGAACATCTGGTCAATCCCATGTCGACCCAAGTTAAGCTTGCACAGAATCTTGGCAACCATACTTTGACTGACTCCCTCAATTTCCTTGGGAAACAAAGGTTCACCTTAGTTCACCTTCAACAATCAACAAACTGTCAAAACTGGCTTTTAAACATCAAGAGTGTTGAGGCCACACACCGCCTTTAAGTTGAACAAATCATTCAGATGCTTTTTTTCAAGTGGTCCATCCTTTTTCCAAGGGCCGCCCCACGCCCTCACGATTCCTCCGTGTATCTGGTCTCGATGGGTGCAAACCTCGGAAGTTCTGCGTCAGTCGTGTGCCTGTGGGTAGAGACGAAGGCATCACAATGGAAGTGGAAAAGGGTGACTTCCACGATGTGTTTAACTTTACGAAAAAGGGTGGCTTCCGATCTTCCGTGGAACCTGAGTTGGAGTGTATAGCTGCCATGACAAGCCCACGAAAGTAGTTGTCTTTTTGATCCACATTATATATAATAACATAATATTTAAAGTGCTCGTTGCCAAGAACCCAGCCAGGCTCGGGATTCAGATAGTTTCTCAATTTGTCTCCTGGCTATTTCAATATGGGGACCTCCCAAAGGTGTAAAGGGATATACAGGGAATAGGACAAGCAACAAGATGATGAAAACCCAATTTGGTGGCTTCCCCTATGTTGGCTACATGGGTGTGTAGCTCAAGAATACAGGAGACCTATACCCGCGTTCGACGACCCCCTGAATTCGGTTCGGGATGATTTGACCAGTCTACCCAGCCAGAGGGGCGAGAAAGGGGTTCTCCCCATTAACATCCAGGCCCCATGTCTTGAACTACACACTCCTGGAAATTGCCTGGAAATCCAAAAACATGAAATCTTCGGAAAAATGAATGAAAAGCCAGCTGTTTGGTCTTCGGAACATGGTCATTCCAGTCTGGGTGATGGCTTCCAAAGAAAAAATTAATCCTCTCATCCTCACCATCCACTTATCGATCCCAAAACCACGTCAGGTTGTAGAGGGGAATATGGTCTTCCAGTCTGGCCCATGCCATCAGGGTCCATGTTTGTCTTCCCGGGTGTAACGGCTGGTGATGAAGAAAACCCACCCTACAGAATGGTTTTGCATCTCCAAGTGCCTCCTTTTTTTGAATCAACAGTCTCCTTGAAATCATGGCTGGATCTCAAGCTTATGTTCGGAGTCTTGTCCTTTTGACCCACAGCTGGTTGGTGATTTTAACTCACTTAACACTTGGTCAGTGGGTTCAATCATCCCAAGTAAAGGTTACACATCCAAATTCTCCCAATAACCACCACCTAGACAGCCAAACAAGCCCAGCCCATGGCGTCCAGCCGGTCCATTCATTCCACGTGGCTGCCCTCGCAAGATCTTGATGAGCAACGCTGCTTGGTTCTTCGCTTCAAAGGGGTGCCTGACTCCGCCGTTCGCGGAATTGGCTCCAAACACCGCCCGACACAGAGAAATATGAGACATGTCATTGTGGCTGTCGCAATATAATATGGTATAATATATATAGTATCGTAATTAATGTACTATATTCCGTCATGCTCCAGCAGTTGGAATCGGTTGAGACGGCGCAAAGGCCATCGAGTCATTGTCCCAATGGTTCTGAGGATGTCAACGGCTATAGTGGTCTCCAACTAGATCAAAACGTTTTCCAAGACATTTTGAGTGGGGATCTACTTTTCTACAAGCATCTATCTTGGGGATTCTTGGGGTCTATATCTAACTCGGGCGTGTCCCGTCGATCCGAACTGGAACGGTCAGTCGTCGGATGGTTCTGTTGGTTCAACACGCAGCGTGTCTCGTTGGTTCAGCACCTCAAGGTACACATCTCGTAGACCACGCATCCAAAGGCCCAGACCTGGTTGGACAAAGGCAGCTGAAGAGGGTTCTCATCGAAGAGAGAAGTGGACTGAGAAAGGAAAGGACATGAACGGACCAGTTAAATGAACAGCACTGCGTCTTCCCAGTTGTGGTGGTGCCACTCAACTCTCAGTCATGTGAACAAATGGAATGTGCTTGCAAACTGTCTCCTTAAGTGTGCTGACGCCATTGCGCCGGTACGCTGTTTGGTGTTGGACGGATGAATTGCGTTCTACTCCACCATGACGATACGCCAGTCGATGCCCTACACCCTAAACCTAAACCCCAAACTGTCGGCCATCGGTGTATCGGTGCTGTTCGGTGTGTGTACCGGTGTATCGGTGCGAGCGCATGTAAAGGGACACACTTTGCAGGCGCTATGGAACGATGAGCCTGTATGAGCCTGTGTAGGGAAACATGGCAGGAGTTTACTGAATAGATCTGAATAGTCAAAATCTAGGGGATACGAACGTATGAATCCCAGCTGCTGGAAGGGCAGTGGGGTTGTGTTTGATCCACAACAGGTCAACTGGCTGTGGAGTGACGTAGCAACGATGGAGCGCCTTGGTAACTAACTTGAATCTTGGATTGAGATACATTATCCACTTGAATGACAAAGGCCTTGACAAGGGGACTCATCCCTTCAAAGCGTCCACCCGAAAATCCACAGGAAGCTTCTCCAAAAACATCCAAAAACTCACCCCAAATCAACAAGTTGTGGTGCCAAAACTTGTGACTGTGTGTGTGTGGGGGTTGGTAGGTTGTTTGGTAGTTTGGTTGGTTGCAGTCTATCTTCTTCTGAGAAATGGCACAAGAACAATCCTGTTTAGTTCTGGAAACAACACCAAGTGTTCTGGGTGTTCAGACTCACTTGGGTCATGGGTCATTGCACCAAAAGACCCATCCGGCACGACCGACCTGGTGTGGGCGGTGGGAAACGCCGCCTACCATGGTATCATGGTGTACTGGGCTCCAGGTGGGTCACGACCCCATCCCCACTTGCTTTTTTTGAGTGCTTCCTTTGAAGCGAAGAAGGTGGGCTGTTTTGCCGGGAGCCCATGTTCGCTCCGAGGCACATCGGACAGCTCGTTGTAAGGCTTCTCTTCGCAAATCTCTGGAGACAAGTAGTAAGGCGTACCCACCTCAGACGCTCAGAGGTCATGCAGCACCGTCGCTTCGAGGTTTGTACATGCGAAGTTCGGAGCTTTTGACTATAAGCTTTATCACGTGGAAGGGAGCAAGTTGCATCAGTCGAAGCGGGATGGAAAGGATCATAGAAACGGAATGGAGGACACCGGACACCTCAGAAGAGAGGCTTTTGACCGAGCAAAACCTCCATGGTCCCTACCTACTCTCTGACTCTCTCATAACTTCGATTCATCCATCCAGTACTCCACCTCTACAGCCTTGTATCACCGCCTGGTACCTAAACCCCCAAAAAGGTGCCCAGCAAGACATGGGTTCGTCTTAGGATGGGGAACCCTCAGATCGATCTCCTCGAAGGAAAATGGACCAAAACCTCTGTTGCGGGCTCCACTGAAAGAGATCACACCAAACCGTGGGTTAAAAATAGTGGAGCCAAGTTGGATGTGGGTTAAAATACCATTCGACCAAAACCCTCCAACATGACCCACCTCGGCAGTCACCGTCGTGCTGATTCCTCCGCTTGAAATCCGTCGCTTTTCGCCCCAACGGCGAGGTGAGGGCTGAGCTTCGGATCGTGGTTGAAACACCTTGATCACCTTCAAGGTGACATCCTTGCAACCCTTCAAGACCACCAAAGGGACAAATCTTCGTATTCTTCCAGCATCCACCAGTTGTGGGTGTCGTGTGGACCTAATACGAAGGAGGTGACACGGTCAATGAAAGAATGAGTCGAGCACCTGACCGAAGGTCAAGGCCAGTTCTTTGGAAAGATCATGAAACATCTTCTAACTTCTTCGCTTGGACCAGCACCAGGTTCGGACTCACGTATTGACAGCAAGCGAGCACTGCACTGAACTCATCTCAGGATCAGGCGAAGGTGTTCGCGAAGTTGGAGCCGCTGAGAACCCGCGCCACCTTTCTCGGACACAGTGGGAGCCGCACAGATCCTTGTATAGGTCTTATCCTCAAGCTCGACCCCCCTAGATCTACTGCTCGGAAACTGGACACATCGACCGTCATGCTACACCCACGATACCCAGGTGTTTTTTCCCAAACACTCCCCGTGCATACCAAATAACTATAACTGATGCGAAATACTGAGACTCACAACATAAATGACTCAAACTGCTGATCCCAAACACTCCATAGGACCGGCAAATTTACGTACAGATCAGGTGGGGCGGTTGACACAGGGTCAATATAATGATAATGACAATGTTTATAACAAAATTCCATGGTCTCGGGTATCTTGAGTCATGTCAACATGTTTTCTGTCCACCGGTAATCTACAGTCTAAATGGTCACCTCGCTCTGAAAACGAATCCCAACGACACGCCGTCGACGATTTCGATGCACACGGCTCGATGCTCGTTTCAGCTCAATCCGTTTTGTCCCCCAAAGGATCCATGGAGGCAAATATGATCAACTATATTCAAAAATGTATATGTTCCGACCACCACCACCAAAATCTAGGCCATTTTTTCCGACATGAGGCCATCGCTAGTAGGTTGGAGGCCATTGCTACTAGGTCGGCAAAACAAAAAGAACAACCATCTCAGGTGCAGCCGTCCACCATCGCTACCGTGGAGGCCCCGAGAGACTCCCGGACCGCTGAGACTCCCGGACGCCCAGGTCGCCCAGGCGGACGTCGTCGTTGGTCTTCAGGAAAACGTTCAACGTCTGCCACGGTGGCAGGGGCGGTGGCAGTAGGGAGATCGCTTTCGGTACCGAAAGGAAGACGTCCCTTTTCGTGGCGGGGCGTTCAAGGTCTGCCCTCATCAAAGGGAGGGAATAAACATGAATAAACAAAAGGAATGTCCATCATCAAAATGACCCGCGGATCAAACAAGGGGGTTACTCTCCCTCCATCCATCTGGAAGTTGACTCAAACATTTCGATGTTCACAGCGCCATTCGGTGCCCCACCTTGATGTCGCGGTGGAGGATCCTGGACAAATGGTGGGATGGCTTGGCAGCTCTCAGGTCTGTAGTGCTGGTGAGTTTGACATACATTTGTGGTTGGGGAGCTGGGTGTTTGCTCTCTGTATTTCTATATCTGAGTATCTGCATGTTGCTTAACCCCACACTCGACAACACAACTCCCTATGGCTGAGCGGAATGATTTGGACAGACGATCATCACAGGGCTTCACTGAGCGGCTTCAAGATGTTTAAAGCTTTGCACATGTTGAAAACAAACAAGGATTGTTCACAGGCTCAATGCTTTCTTTACATAATGGGAGCAAGAAGCTACTAGGGGCTCCTGGCCGTACTACTAGGAGCAAGGACGCTACTAGGGGCTCCTGGCATCGCTACTAGGAGCAAGAAGCTACTAGTATCAGTCTCTTCAGGTCTCACTTTAGACCCAGCGCCTGTTCTGGTGAAGCCACTGTAGACCCAGCGCAATCTGCAACAAGTAGCGCCAGACCGAACGCTCCTCGTCACGGGGGGTGCGGATCCGATTCACCTGGTGCCTGAGAGAAGAGCTTAGGGTGTCCATCTTGACATGTTCTCACAAGCAAAACTGTACAATGAAACATCTGTACATCTGAAATTACCAGCTTCTTCAGTTTGTGAGCTTTTCGGAGTCCCGACCAGTGACCTTTTTGAACAGGGCACCCCTTGTGAAATAAGCAACCAAAAATGAAAAAAGGTCTCTTTTGAAGAATCAAGTTTACTGAATCTTAAGATCCGAATTGGAATTCAATCCCAACAAATACCACTCAATTCTGGAGTCCGCGATGTAGGGTGAAGTTCGTTCAAGCCTCGAACCTAGGAACCACTCTGTGGATTTTGGGCTGCCATCAGGACATGTCGGACTCATGGAGGAAAAAGAAGAAGAAGGAGGAGAAGAAGAAGAAGAACACATATCCTTTGCAGCAGTCAATGCTTGGGGTCCAAAGTCCAGATTATATGTTCAAAAATGTTCAAAAGAACGTCGTTCACCTCAAGGTTTTGAGCAAACCCTCGGCCGTTTTTGTTATTAATATATATATATATATAGATATATGTGTTTCTTTTTTCACTACAGGTGAGCTGCAGGCACTTGGGTGAAGAATCTGGAAATCACTATGCAGTAATTCTTCCGTCTCAAGAGGGGCCCCCTACATGTTGTTCGGAACGCGGACGCCATTCGAACTTCCACCCGGCCTTCCCTGATCTCACCGGGGGCTCCGGCGGCTCACCGCGCTTCCCGTCCTCCAGTCCGCTATGGCGGGATTTCAAGAACTGGCTCAAGTCCCCTGGCATCGCCCAGCGCTCTTCCGTCGTTGCAAACAAACCAACTGGCGCCAGTTTCGGGGACTCCCGGTACACTGAAAACTGCCTCTCTTGGGACCAAAAGAATGCAGCTGACCGAACGTTGATTAGCTTTGACACACACACATACCCATACCCTGAACATGGAGACAAGCTCTTTCCCCTTGAAGGAGGACATTCATGTTCAATATTAAATATCTGCGACCCACACCACAAAGACTCATGTTGGCTTGACAGAGTCCAAGTGAATGTTCACACATGAAACACAATATAAACAAAAATTATCAAAAATTAATGCTACGCTGCTACAACAACCCGCCAAAAAAGACACTCCTTTGAACTCCTTTGCAAAGGACCACGTAGTCTTCCAGAAATCAATTTGTACGTCAGTCCAGTCCATGAATGGCACTTGTGTCATAACTCGCCATGTTCAAAGGAGCCGCTTCCTCCCAGGCACCCTTTGTTGACCAAGAATTTTCTAAGTGAAAGTGGGAAAGCCTACCCGATGAGTCCAGTTGTTCACCTCAAAACAGGTGCTGAAGGTACTTGGAACTGGGGATGGTTCTTATCAAAAAGGCTGGACCACGTCCAAAAAAGAGCTTGGAACACGGCGCGCGAAACAACAAACGCTGTCATACAACTTGTTGTTATCTGGTGGTTCAAACATTCCTTCATTGAGCCTCGGTCTTCTTTTTTTTGTAGGTTTCCCCCAATGTTCCACACAAAGTGCAACCAAAGATGTTTTCTGTCCAGAAGTGGGTGGTGTCCGGACACGACATCCAGGTTGAATACAGTAGTCACCTTCACCCAATACTTTGGATGGAATCCTTTCGCATCAACCATTCTGATTTCAGCCATCGGGTCTGGGAATGGGGGGGAGCAATGGAAACCTGAGCTCACTCGAGCTAGCTGAGAACATTCTAGCAGGTCCGGAGCAGGTTCCGGGGTCGCCTTTCTCGCAGAACTCCATGATGATATGGAGAGTCTCGCCCTCCTCCCATGGTGAGTCTCGCTCATGGCGGGGAACCAACTCCCGAATCTAAGAAAAGAGCGGATAAAGGCCGAACGAAGTCGAACTCATTGTCTCTCATTCTGGAAAAGGATAATATGGGCTTTAAATAGCCTGGAAAACACCAGTTGCAACCACCTTTTTCAGCGATTATTCTCACTTTGCATCACTTTGCACCTTCTGTCACTGGGCAAAAAAAGACGACACCTGTGTTTGTTGCAGGGAGTGTACACCCTCAGCTTCAGCTGCAGGCAGTGGAGTCTTCAGTGGAGCCATTTCAGGGAGTGTCATGTGTTCTCTTTCCTTCTCGGCCAGGAAACCCAAGACTACATCCTCGTTCTGTGCATATGTCAATGCATTCCATCCGAGCGCTTCGCGCGCTTGGCCTGCCCCGGCGTAACAACCCGAGCGCTCCAGGAAGGAACCGAGGTATTGAACGATGTAGCTACATCCGCGAGAGACCTTTCGGAGCAGCTCCACCTGGAGATGAGGAGCATTTTTGGTGCGGTGTCTTCTTTTAGTCTGAAACCGGAGGCATACAGCGGTGAAGAGAGGGGAGTCAACTACAAGCTGAGTATATAAGTCATCCTTTGGGGTCTTCTTGGAGGCAAATATGAGGAACTCTTTTTGGATCTCTTTGGGGGGGCTGGTCAATGCAACTGGAGGTCCCGGAACCTCCAAATGTTGGAAGAAGTGCTCTTCCAAACGCCGAGTCAGTTGGAAGCCAACATCCAGGCCCTGCAGAACTTGCTCTTCTTCGGAGCTTCAAGAAAGAAAGCACACTTCTAAGGAAGGCTTGGGCCAAGCAGCCGACCTGGATCAAGTCGGCGAACATGAACACTCGCCAGTGACATGGGAACCCGCCCCATATGGGCCACTTAAAGACATAATGCGGGAGGTGCTGGTGCCTGCGCTGCAACTGCCTCGTCCAAGAAGTGTCTGAGTCTGATATGTCTCAGAAAAAAAAGATCCGTTCACTCGTGTAAGTTCAGGACCTCAAGAATATAGGTTTGTAATGGTTTGTATTGAAATATCGGGGGACACGTGGTATGTGTAGACTATATCCATTGGTTGGCCACTCAACATTCATGAAAGTTTCATGGAAAGCTGTGGAGCATGTTGCAAAGGAGCATTGCCAGCATGAGGACCCACATTCCACTGGCCTCTTGATTCGCTTCCAGACGAGCTTTCTTCTTCATCTCGCTCAGCTGGATCTGCTTGCAAACCTCACCCCATTCGCGTGGCATACTGCGAGGGTGCGACGGGGGCGGGCGCACGGTGCCCAAGGCACCGAAGACATCTCTGCCCTGCAGGGCCATCCAATTGACTTGGCATATTGTTATAAGTTTGCTTGGACTTGAACGGACAAAGCAAATACAAATATATCCCCTAGAACCGATCCCAAATAGAGGAAACACATTGAATAAAGAAGTTCACCTAAGATGATTCGAGAAAAGAAGATATAAGAAGGAACTCCTTCTGGGTGTCCTGGGCAGTTCTTCAGAGCTTTGGCATGTGTGCATCGTTCATGTTCAGCGACTCGACTGACGGCATGAACACCTCCAAGTCTGTGCCAATCGGGGTTCGACTAACGTGTACCAACACACCCGGTAGTGTTGGTGAGAGGACGTGCCGAGGCAACCATCAAACAAAGAATCCAAGAAAAACACCGTTGTTTCAGTGTCTTAGTAAATCACAGTATCCCAAGAAAACTACAATAATAACCGGACCCGACATGGTGGACAAACCGCTCTGCTAGCATGATCTTCAAGACCCTCCGGTGACGTCCCCCAACCCATAGAAGCTTTTCCGGACTATGTATTGGGACGCTGAGTGGAGGGGGCACCTGAGGTTGGAGATGTAAAGGCGAGTCTGAGGTTAATACCTGCTCAGTGCATTTTCGGGTGCGTTCCGTTGGGCGACCACCAATTCCAGCTCTGGTTCTGACTTTGTGTTTTTTGGCCCGAACAACTCGGGTGTCCGCCCCGAATCTTCGGCCCCGGATCTTCGGCCCCGGCGCAGGTGACAGCATCCTCCTTGCGGAGGACTTTGAAGACCACCTACCAGGAGTGCACAGCAGCTCCCAGTGTTTGGTGGACATCCCACATCCCAAAATCATGAAACCGTTTTGGTGTGCGTGAACGTCCACAAAAAAATCCCAAAAGAGGATTGAAGACTTCACCCAACCTCCGCCCTATTCATCAAGCCTCATGGTTCAAACAGAATCCTAGCAACCATCATCCATCATCAGGTCATCACCTTTATTAGGGGGATCTGGTCTCCGAAACCTCCAATCTCAAACCTTGTTGACCTTGTTGACCTTGAAGGGGCGGGTTGATTAATCCTACGTCGACAGTACCATCGTCTATAGTTACATGATGTTACATGTGAGGCTGCCCCCAGCTTTCTGTCGGCCCCGTCCACCTGACCCCGGGTCCCCGGCCGCCGCCGGAACTGCTCCGGGCGCCCGTGCTCCGAAGCTGCCACGTCCCAATTGCTCTCCAAACTCGAAGTCCTTCCTGAGCGACTCAAGGTCCAACTGGGTGGTCCGTTCGGATGAACGCCTATGAACGCCTTGATGCGGTGAGACCAAGTGTTTGGTTTTTGGGTGGGGAGATCAAGATCCGAGCAAACAGCTAGGAAGCTGACTCAACCTCTATCACTCCAAGCTGGTGGATGCCAAAATGATGGAAGCATGAATCAAAAGATGATCGTAGCCTACCAGTACCTTGTACCCGGCCCAGTTCAACATGGAAGTTCTATGAAGTTCTACTATGATGAATTGTAGTTGAGATTCTGAAGAAAACCCAACATGGACTGGGGGTTGGACTGGGGATTCCAGATCATCGAGCAAAAGAAGAAAGGGAACACAGCTTGGGACGGTCGTGTCACAAGGTTGTTCTGTATATGTCGTTATGTAACTGTCCTGGCTGCTAATCCCAACAAGACTGTTCTATTTGGGATGTCTGCTCTGACATGATCCTTCCCAAAATTGCTTACATATATATATATAATTATGCTTATATAATTATGTTGCTATGCTATAATGATCTACTGAAATTTTACAAGAGCCAACCATCCATAGGTCCAGCGCCAGCCCACCTCTAGCACCGGCGCCCAAAAAACATCCAAAACAACGCCCAAGATCTGAGAAGTCATCGCGTGACGGGGTCATGCCGGAGACTGGAGTGAGCTGGCTTTTGTTCAGCACTTGTGCAGCTGATGTCTGTGGGATGAACTGAATGGACGGAAACAAAAAACTGCGCTTTTAGGAGATCTATATATATATATCGATCTGTCTGTCATCAAAATAGAGAAAAAGGAACCAGGCAGGTCATCCAAATCCAGCTGGCCAGTGTCACTTTGAGGGTTGTCACTTCAAGTAGATGTGTGACAGCCAATGTTGGCCAATGCACTCACTTCTTCTTGTTGTTCTTGTTGTTGTTGTTGTTGTTGTTGTTGTTGTTGTTGTTGTTGTTGTTGTTGTTCTTGTTGTTCTTGTTGTTCTTGTGGTTGTTGGTTGTTGGTTGTTGGTTGTTGTTGTTCTTGTTTCTTGTCGTTTCTGGTCCTCCGGCTTGCTAGTGTTTGGAGCCGGTGTCACATTGGGGCACATCCATCAGCGACTTTGTTCAGCCTCTTTGGGCCAAATTCTGCGGCCTGTGGGGCCTTCCACCCTTTGGATTGACGCCGGGAGGGGAAATCCCAAGCCCCGTGCAAGCGGAAAACCATCAGCATGAATCTCTTTGAATCTCTTTGATTCCTCTGATTTGGAAGGTCTTCGGCACACCATCTGGAACATGCTTTTTGACAGAGATCCAACTGCACCGGCAACATCTCGTCATCTCGTACCACACACTTCGAGGGCGAAACCCACGAACCGCGCCGGGGAGCCACCACTGAAAACGTTCCCGTCCGGCTTGAGCCGGGCAGCCCATTCACCTTTCAATCAAAGTAAGGATTCTTTAGGAGGAGATCTTTGGGAATCATCTTATTTTAGGCCATTGGTTTCAGCACTTGGCACCAGAACAGGCAAACAAGAACCGCGAGAGTAGAAGCACATGGCAAATATGCACCAAAAACAAGGAAGCACATGCTCGCGCACCGCTGCTCTCGCTTTTTTCACCCAACAAAAAGTCTGGCGGATCAGGCGCACCAAAAGGATGCGCACAATTTATTCACATCTTGTGAACCTCCCAATCGCTGCTCTAGAGTCTGCAGCGGAACCAGCATCCGAATTAGTGGCAGCCTACCCGCAACCTCACAGAATGCAGTTCTAGAATCCTGATACTGCTGTCTTAATGCATGAATAATTACAGTACTCTTTGCTGTAGACCCCTAACACTGCCAGAAGGGAAACAAACTCAAACTCGCTATTTCACACACTCATCTCTGGTCTAGTATACCTCATATCGACTAATCAGTTCACAAACTTCTCACAAACTTCTCGACGCCTCTCCCGAAGACCTGGGTGCGCCAACAGTCCGGCAAACGAAGGAAAACGGACGAAAACACCCAAAATATCTAAAACACACACATGGCATTGTAAAAAAGTAATTGAACAAGAAACGGAAAAAACTAATCTTCAACACGGTCGGCTCAACAGATTGGACCTTGTCATGAGTTGACAAACTGATCATGACTGATCTGGGTGCTCTGGGTGGTCTAGTGGTCTGGGGTTGTGACTTCTCCCGCTGCTGTAGAAAAAACAAATCTGTTGCAGGATGTTGCAGGAGCATCTCTAGCTCGCTAGAAGTCCAATTCTTGCTGTGAGCAAAAAGCCATGATCACGAAGGGGAATCGAAGTGTTTCTTGAATCCCATAACGATGTTTGACTATGTGAAATTGAATACAGCAGCAACTTGCTCTGATCCAAGATCGGCAAAAACAGAACCTGGCCCCAGAACTCTGCATGTCTTTCTAGCGTGCCTGGACCCCTGAAGCCAACGCATGCTTTAGCTCCCACATGCGGTTGACAAAGAAATGCTGCACAACTGAGGCAGAACTTGGTTGAAAGTAGCAAGAAAAATGTGGCTCTCACTCCCCCTGAAGGAGTTATTGCCGTCCACAGCATCCTGTTCCCCCTAGGCCGCACATTCTGTGACATGCTTGCAAGATGCTACTGCGAGCTGGCTCCTTGTGCGATGAAGGCATGCACGGAGCCTCCAAAGAAGCATCCTGTCGACAGGCGAGCAAAAAGATGCAAGTGCATCTTGGATGCTGGATCAGCTACACCACTGCTGTGTGACCTCCCTGGTGCCATCTGTACTTAAACAGCTAGTCGTCAAACGACCAACGAGTTGGCGAGAATGTTCACCCAAAGGGCCTGACTGACTGACTGACTGACTGACTGACTGACTGACTGATTAAATAACCAACTACCTAGCTAACTAACTAACCAACCAACCAACTAAAGAACTAACCAACTAAGCTAAACTGAGCCAAACTAAGCTAACTACCAACCTAACCCAACCCAACAACCTAAGCTAACCAATGCTTTACCACCTAAAGACTCAGAACGGATCCAATATAAATCTTACAAGGATTCAGAGGCTCGATGGCACTGGCACCCCAACATGACGTTTGGATGCGGGTTCATATAAAACCACCAAACTTGGGTAACTTGTGCCATCTAGGAGCAAAGGGCATCGCTACTAGGAGCAAGGACGCTACTAGGGGCTCTTGGCCGTACTACTAGGAGCAAGGACGCTACTAGTAACAAGAAGCTACAAGGAGCAAGACTTGGAGCCACCGTAACATGTCTCGAGTTCCGATTCCTTCGGCCGTGCCGGGTGAATGGAGACGAACGACGAACGTCCGGACTCCGCGCCTCCGGTACCTTGGTGGATCGGCGTTCGGTGTGGCGATCCCTGATGTTTTGGTGAGGAACTAACTCTTGGGGAGCCCAAGCATGCACTGGAAGAGTTGAGGTAGTATGGGCGTGATTGGGCGTGTAGTTTGATAGAGAGACCCCTTGGCCAAGTGGCTAGACGGCTCTATGTTCCGAGCCTTCCAGCGAGTGGAACTGAAAGGGTGACCTACCGCGGTAGGTCAAGCGGTCGATGATGTTTCCTCTCCCTTGCCAGTCTCGTGGAGCGAAACAACAACATCCAGAGGTCACCAAGAGGTAGTGTTTGGTCCCATCCAGTGAGTGGATGTGACAAGGGCACCCCTAACCTCCAAGCTCGGCACCCCGTCTTGTGACTCCTGGTTGATACTGTATATCTTCTTTCCCCCACCATTTCCAAGGATTTAAACAACCGGTGTTTTTCGCCGTCTCGACGGGAATTTGACCAGACCGCCGCAGCTCCACTCGTGTATCGTAAACGAGAGATTCCTGGGTCGGACCTGTTCTCTTGGTGGCACTGGGTGCTGATTGAAAACAAATCATGTCCCATTCCATCGCATCCATTTGACTCTTCCGTACACATCGTACACTGCCGGCTGAAGGTGCAAACATCACCTGTTTTCAGAATCCGGGCTTGCACCCATGGAAAGGGCTTTGAGGGTCTGAACCCCTGCTATGGATGGTCCTCTGCTTCTGGTGCCTTCACAAGCAATGGTTCCTGCATCTGCGGCTTTCAAAGGAATCCTGAATGGAGTAAAGTTTCAGTTCCAAACTGAGACCCCAAGAATGCCCTGGTCTCTGAAAATTGGGCTTGTGTTTCTAAGGTGGCTCAAGATGCTGAAACTATACTTGTGACCTGTTAAAGGTGTCATCTTGAGAGGCCCCCCAAGATCAAGTGCCCAAAGCCAGGGCTTCGAAACCCTAAGGTTTTTAGGGGTTAGGGTTTTGAAACTCTAAGGTCCGCATAATTCGTTTGTTTGAGACTTTGAAGGAAGACCTACCCAGCACATCTCCAGGGCACTGGTAGCACCTCCGATCTCCGGAAGCGCGGCAGTGCACAGCGCGCACGATCTCGCACCTGCCGGTGGGCCAGGCGAGCTCGGTCGAAGCCCGGTCTCACATGCCAGTCTCTAGTGACCTCTATGTTGGATCACCAACTACCTAAAATCTAAAATGTTGATGAGTTGTGTCCTATCAAAACTGGCATATGAAATAGGCTCTAGAGATTAGTTATACTGCATAATATGGTATAATACATGTTGTGTGTAGATATACATATTTATGCACGTACCGGTACAGTCCTACATTGGGGTGGTTGATTTTAGCGGTCAATTAATGTATGTTCCAGTCTTGTCGGTCGTGCCCTGAGACCAAAGGAGCTTGGCCCCTGCAAGCGTTGGAGACCGCTGGTCCCAAAAAACCGAGGTCGTCCAGTTCGAGGGGTTGGTTCCACACCAAGATCCAAAGCAACGTGAGCTGCAACTGGAGTTACAGTGACAGGGAGCCTTCTGGCAAACCAAAACAACTGGCAGGCGTTCTCCACTCTCTTCTTCTTTTTCATCAGCACTCCCCCAACGCTCTCCATGATTCAGTTCAAAGCAGCCCAGCCAGAAGGCGCGCGGAAGCGTCGTCACGTGCGAGCATCATGCGCACGTGCGCAACGCGCACGCGAAAGCGTCGTCAGGGCGTGAAGAAAGACACATCGCGCCTCGTAGAACCAGAAGGTGAAGATATCCTGTGCTCGGCTCAAATGATCCTGGCACACCGTGCACAGAACCTACCATGCACGGTTCTGCGTGGGGTTTGGGTGGGTGGAGCAAGAGGGAGTCATTTCGGAGTCGTTTTGAGGGGTCACAAGGTGTGGAGGATGGAGGGGCGGATCGCCCTGAAGGTAACAGAACTTCCAAAGTTCAGAAATTTACATCATGGTCATCCTATGTGAAGATGCATGGTGTTGAAACTCAGACGCAAACGACATGGTGATCTTTATGGATCTTCAAGAATTCCTTCACACTCAAAGTCTCAGGTGTTCAACCAGCTCAGCAATGCTTGTCCCAGAGCCACCCAATGAACTATCTGTGGTAGGTATGGGCAAACCTAGCAGGACCTAGCCGCTTACTCCTTTCAAACTGGTCGGGGTTGGTTGCCTTCCAGCCACACCTACTGTGGACTCTTGACTAACAAACCTGCCATGATAAGGAGTTTTACAATCCACATGATATGCGGCAGGGGTATCAATGAAGAGTCTACAATATACATATACCTGTAGTAAATGAAGACCCTCAACTTTGTCAGCACTCCAGCACTATGTGTGTTTCAGGTGTTGATCCACAGCATGCCTCCATGTCCAAGGCAGTTCGCGTGGGCCATGAAGGCATGTGCCGCCGCACACCTCTTCAGGTGCTGTGTCGGAGGTGAAAGTTGTATGACTTTAAGTCCAAAAGAATGGTGCTTGGATAAACAGCTCCCATATCATCGTCTATTTACCCAATAACATTGACAAACACTGTTTGGCAGGTCCAGCCAGGCATACTGGATGCATGGTGATTTACTGACTGGATACTGGGTATCAACTGAATAATAAATACTTATTATATCCTATTATCTATATTTGCAAGACTTGATGGCCAGTTGCTTGCAAAGGTTAGCTCAGTTCACCAAGTCACTAAACTAAAAACATGTAAGGGTCCCACGTGGTCTGACTATACAAGTGGACTTTCTCATTTGCTCTAAGTGTGGAGTGTCCCACAACTTGGAGCGCACCTGTGACATGTTCGGGCTGACCTCAGCACCCTAGCGGCCCGGATCGGGTCGTGAACGACCCACCACGTTCGCCGGACCAGTGAGGTCCATGTCGCGAGGTCCACCACCACCGGACACCAAAGAGGTCAACGGGTCAAGGGGATTCTGTGGATTCAGTCTTTTTCTCTTCTACATCTGCTATAGATGGTTGGTTTCAACAAGGCTCAGTGGTGCAAGTGGGGGCCCGAAAGGCTCCAGCAACCCACACCATGCCGCGGTGTGTGTTTCGCTTCGTCCAGGGGTCCGGGCGGTGTTTCCAAGCGCGTTGCTCCTGTAGCTGCGCGTTGATGGGGTTCGCTCAAGTGGAGCTAGAAGGTACCTTTTCAGAAGGTTTTTGGAGTCCTTGTTCTGGATGCTTAAAGAAGATAATCCCTTGAAGCATCTCAAACCATGACATGCCATGACTCAGTAGAGCACGGCAACATCCAGGTGGATGCTCTTCTGACCTGCACTGGATCAGGTGGGTAGACAATTCACTCGATGTTTGACCAATGAAAATCATACCATTTTCAAGAAAGGATGAGGGATACATGGTGATCCATTCCTCTTGGCGCTTTTACACAAGAGTTCCTGGATTGTTACTTTGTGGACATGGTCTAGTACCCATAGTCTAGTACCTATATGGTACTAATAGTCACAGTTCCTGAAATGGGAGAGCCCCCGAGGCTCAAGGAGTAGACTGGTCTATTTCCCGACTTCCCAGGGGTCGGAAGGCCTGTAGACTGGTCTCCCTACGTAGCAGCTACACACCCAAAAATGGAGACTGACACGGAACGTACATTCCGCTGTCCGGTCAGTCCCCCTCTCCTGAGATCGCTGGCGCTGAGAAAGCTCCTGGGCCGAGAGCTACAAAGTTCGACACTTCCAGAACAGCACAAAAAGCAAATATATATATATATATGTATATATAAATGCATATATTCTAATTAATTCGTATATAGGGATCATGAACCTTTAAACATCAAAATCTCTGATACTATGCGAACCTTTGTTTATTTTGAAGCTTTGGCCCCTTACTATGAGATCCTGGGCCATCCAATCCCGTTTCAGTCTCGCTTTTTACCAATCCACGGCTCTGCGTCTACCACCCCATACTCTGCGTCTGCACGTTCTATGCCACCCTGTTTTCAACGGACCCTCCTTCAGGACTAACGCCCGGGGGGGTGTCAATCTGAAGAAACCGGGGACCAGATTCACTGTGGGCGTCACCCCTGGAGGTGGATCCTCTTAAGAATGTCCAAACAGTAGACACCTGGTCCAGAGGGATTCTGTGGATTGCCACGCACTCTGCGCAAATTTGTCCGTTGGGTCATCACCCGGTGTTCAAAGAACCAGCCGGGCGTGTCCAGCTGTTTCAGCCCAGCAGCTAAGCTTAGCAGCTATCGTTACACCAGCTGGCTGGTTCCAGTGGGCTTCAGGGAGCACTCAGAAGAGATTAGATGAGACAACAGGATCCATCGCGTCCCACGCGCAGGATGCGATTTGAGATATTGGACCTTGATTGGCTTCATAGTCTTTTCTTTTCGAACCCCTGCAAGTGTGATTCATTTGAGTCTTGTCCAGTCAGGATTGCGTACTGAGCTAAAGTGTTCAGTCTCGTAAACCAGTTGCTCGCTCATTCTCCACTCCACCAGATTCTTTGACGCACTTCCATATGCGAACATCCTTCGTCGACCTGATGTTTCACCCCTCCCCGTCCCACCGTCTTCGCCGTCGCCTGCAACTCACGGGTGGCCTCTTCGAAGCGTTCCCGCAGCGTGGCCTGGAGTTTCGTTCCCCCCGGGGCTGCCGGAAGGGAGTCGAAAACTGGACCCAGCGCGGCAGGTCTGAGGTCCGTCCTTGGACAAACAGAAGGATCCATGTGGTACCATATTTCATACGTTGATTGTACACTTTGGGGATCATTTCCCCTCTATCAATCAACCAACCAATAGTAAAAGGCTATCTATGGCCCAGAAACTGTGCTTTTCCACAGAGCGTGGCCACAGAAATGCTGGCTTTTTTACAGGCATTGTTTAACTGAACACGCATGCTAAAAGACATTGAACATGCAACTAAGGTTCTGAAGGACATGTGCTGATCCTTAGCGATGTGGAGCCTCTGGAGCCACCCACAGCCCAGTGGGTGAAGGTCCAGGTATATATACCTTATGAGACGAGGGACCAGTGGATCCCTGATCGACGAAGTGTTACCACCTGGAACCCAAGATTTGTAAAGAGTGGCAGTGGGGATTCCCTCGTCTCATGTTGGATTTCTTCCAAGACAAAGTTCGAGGCATCGGGAATGATCACTGACCTTCAAAGACCCGAAGAAAGACTCGAAATCACCAGGACATCACTCAGCATTCCAGAAATCAACCAGAATTAAAAAACACTCAAACTGGGCCATGGGCGAACATACATGAACCCCCACACACCATGTTGGATAGGTCTTGGGCCATCTGGCCTCCCAACCTCTCACGACTTTCGGACCCGTTTCACGCTCCGCCTGCTCCTCCCCGGAGCTCAGTGCTTCAGCTTGGAGCCTCCCCGCTGGGCACACCGCCATGAGGTGGATGGTCATCCCGGGGAAGTCCATCTGTTTGTAAACCCTAGGGCTCCAAGTGCCTCCTGAGTACATGAGATTCATCAGCTGATGCTGTACTCAGCTGCGTTCCGCTGTGTAGAGGATCCCATCGTCTGGGCCGTCGGTGTTTTTGTTCTTGAAGTTCTCGCGTGGTTTCGCATCGACCCTCTTTCTAGATTAGACATGGATCTCTTCATCTCCAAAGCTCTCTCTAGGTGGGCGTTGTTTTTTTGGGGGGGAAGGGATTACGTGAGGGACACCCAGGGATCCAGCTATATACCCAAAGCATCAAATTACCGCACTGTGACTTGAGGAAATGCATCAAAGCGAACCAATAGCGCGGACAAAGGGGGGTCCAGTGCGTGCTGTCATGAGAGCCAGGATGACATAGTTCGATACCCCAGGTGCAGAGTGCAAATCGTTCAACCGCGACCAAGAAACCAATAAGGGTGTATTAAAATAGGAGACCTCCCAAAGAAACCCTGGAAGAAAAGAAATAGACCAGTCCACCCATTGTGCCAGTCGGTAGTTGTCCCTATATGAAGATACACACTCCAATCGCAAATGAAGAGTCAGTGAGTTCAGACACATGTGCTGCTTCCCCCGGCCCAACGCCGCCCGGGCTGGCGCCGCCTACTCAAACGATCCAAAAGCGCCACATGTTCGTCATGCAGCTCCTCCGGCGTGACCCGCGCGACCCACCCCAGGAGGCGGGTGCAGGAGGCGGTGCGGATGAGGCGTGGTGAAGCGATGTTTCAAGAAATCCTGCGGGCTCGCTCCCTGAATCGGTGGCGGAAGTGGCAGATTTTTTGGGGGGGGAGGAGCCCTGAATCGGTGGCGGGGGTGGCGCTCTTTTGGGGGGGGCTGCATCAAAAGGAGTCTATAGATCTTTTCAAGGAATCATCTCGCTCTGACTGGTGCGAGCAGGGCACAACTCATGTGCCTGGATCGAAAGGCCATTTCTCTTGGGGGTCAGTTCCTTCCCTCATTTCTACCGGTGCACCAGTCAGGTGTTTGTGTTTAGCTTCGCAGGTTCACGCTTCGTGGTACCCGGTAAAGGTCGTGCCCGGTAGGCCTCTTGGTGACCCACAGCCCAGGTCCCTTGGTCCCTCGTACTGGATCCGTCTGAGCCACGATCTCACTCCACCCAGGCGCACGTAATTTAGACTCTTGAGGACCATAACCCCCCCCATATGAAAAGGATTTCCAACAAGGGACCGTGTGGACGCGGACGCGGACCGCAAGTGCGTGCATTCAACCGGGTTGGTGATTAATCAAGAGTCTACATTAAGTACAGTAGTCGCAAAGCTTGTTGTGCTTCAAAAAGGACTTGCCCCAAAAAGCTCGGCTCTACTGGTCAAACTGGGCTTGTAACTCGTCACCGACGGAACGGCTGTGAGTCCAAACCCCCGAGCACCGAGGTCACCCGACGAACAGCGACCTCCTCTTCAGTGCGGAGCTGCTTCTCCTCCTCCCCATCCGGACCAGGCTAGTTGGACCCAAGGTGGTTCAACATGTTCCACGTTCTAAACATACCTAAACTATCAGCTCACTGACAGGAGTAAAGTTTGCAGGTTCAAATCCAAATCAGTCTAACTGTAAACCCCTGTCAAAAGCTCTAATTGTCCCACGGTCGCAGAATTGGGGAGTTTGCCATTCAGTCAAAAAGTTCTGATCCGGCAACATACATTGCCTGCCCACAGTTGTTGTCGTTCTGCTTGATGTTTTTAATACATCGATCATGTGTAATTATATGTAATATTATGTAATTATCATAGAAGCACCCTAATTATCTAATAATAGTTGTTTGTCACAACCCATTCATTCATGACAAGTGCCACCTTGAGGCCATGAACCATACTGTAGATCACAGGTGTCGAAGAATACGTCTGACCAATATCCCCCCAAGGCTTTCTGCATTCCGCTTTGCACCGTCACGGCCGAGGGCGGTCCCGGCGATCGGCGGTTGGTTCGGCATGACATGTAAATGGGATGATGCCCCAAAACAACAGAACCATCTGAACATTTGTCACCACCTCACGGATGTTTTTTGGAGTGAACCAAGCGTAACACGATCTAATTGAGCACCACCTCCGAGGGCTCATATAGTACTCCGTCTCAACCCTCATAGGTCCCTGACTCTCTGACCGACTGCTAACCAGCCGTCGCCATTGCCACTGCCTCTTCCAAGATCTGAGCCTTGTTCTCCTGGCGCCGATCCGCGCGAGGATTCTTGCCGATCTGCCGTTACCCGAGAATGGACCTTTGGCTCACAAGCCTCCCTATAGAAGATCCTAGATGTGTAATTGGACCGTGTTACTTTTCCTGTGAGCTCTGATTGTTTTCGAGTGAGGTTGCTAAAACTGCTGAGTCTCAGCGGCTCAAACCTGATGAAGGTGGGTAGGAAGAGCTTGTCTAGACAACCAACCTATAATTGACGAAGTCTGTAAGAATGCAAGTTCATTCTTCCTTCCCCCTTTGGGGATGGGTCGTTCAACCTGGAGCCCGACCAGTCTACGTGGTGACCAACCTTCCAGGGTAGGTCAACCGGTCTGGTGCCACGACCCACAGCCATTTCACTGCGTTGAAACGAGTTTTCAGTTGGCACGGGCCGTTGGATCTCGAGATCCTCCGAACAGCAGCATGAATTGTGGCGACGTGCGGAGCCGGACTTCTAGCTACAGTAGAACAGCTTGTCCTGTTTGTTGCTCCGTGGGAATCCCTCAGAAGGACTCTCACTTGGCAAGGGTCTCATTTGCGACACCAAATCTGACTCAGTGGCGACACAGCATGGGTTTAGGGTTTATAGGGTTTTAGGGTCATTGCATGGGAACGTCATGATGGAGAGATACACTGCGTCACCACCGAGCAACCGAGTCCTACCCAAGTCCCAAAACGGTGCGCGTCGCATCCGAGTCCGACTTCCACGTCATCCCGTCACGGGCACGTCTGGAAGTAGCGAAACCACCATGTCGAAAGGATCCAGAAGAAGAAATCCCTCTTGGCCCCACGTCTCTGGTTCCCTCTCTCCCCACCTCCTCAAACGCTGCCACCACGGCGGCCAAGAGCACGCTGGGTGGAAGGGTGCAGTGAAAGCCTGGCGGTGAGGATGGGGCAAAGTCTCTTTGGTGGGTCCACCCCGTGGTTCCTTTGGCTGCCAGGGACCATGACCATCCCCACGAGGTTCTTATACCTATGGATTTTGGTCCAGTACTCGTGTCATGAACCACTAACACAGCTTGGGGCTTCCCCATTCTGGGCTTCCTCCGAAGGAGTCAAGCCCTCAAGCCCTCCAGCCACCTGCGAGGTCCCAACGGGTGAGGACGAACCACACGGATACCTGGCGCCCCAAGAATCTCCATGCATTGGACCTTGACAAAATCCGTTCAAACATGTCCAAACAGCAAGTTGTGTCACATTCCATGAGTGGATGGGTACGTGGTACCCACAAGCAATCAGTTCACGATTCCCAACGCGCCATAACGCGCCAACAGACAGTTTGCAGTTTACCAGTAATTCGGTGGCGCGTGGCCAAAGAGAGCCACATGTCCCTACTTCCTCTCATGCACCCGACCGCCAGCCTCACACCCCCTACATCCCCTACCCCCGGCCGGCCCCCCATCGATTTGGGGTCAAAGCTTTTGCTACACCTTGGCACTTAGCAGTGGATCCATGAATCCATCTGCATTTGGGGAGTCGAACGACACGCGTCCTTTGGCAAAAGAGTCTGAGGGTTCGCTCTCCATGGCCGAGAGGGAACATGGATCACCTCTTTTGATCCGCACCACTTGATTGACCTGAAAGAACAAAAGGCCATCCCAGGAGTGTATTCTTCCAGATTTCTTCTTCATGCTCAAGGGGTCCACCATCACACCATCTCGCACCTCGGGTAGACATGCAAAGCTTTCCCCACCACTTCAGCAAACTTCCTTCCCCCCTCCAGGCCTGCATTCCGTTTTGCCTCGCGCGGCGAGGGCGGCGGTGCCGCAGGCACCTCACGCTGCAGCGCGTCGGCGACCACGTCGACCGCGGCGGCCACCGCGGCCGCCACCGC